TTTTTTTATGTGCCAGTGCTAAAAGTGATCCGAAAAATGATAGCCATGAGCTAAAGAGTTATCGTATTGACCAAAACTCCAAAAAAAAGTTTGGCCCCAAAATTGTAAATAAAAATTACAATACCATAACTCGAAAATCATCAAAATTAAAAGGTTTACTGGCTACAAAAACCAGAGTTTCAAATGCCTTAACTCAGGATATACAAAAAGATATAATATAACAGCAGCTAAGAACCAAGATTCAGGATGTAAAAAAGTTATAATAATTAAAAAATTAGGATATACCAAAAAGTGCCAAGAACACCCTGAAAAACGCAAGATCATTGGGTTTCCAATAAGACCCCCATTTATTATGTGGGTGTGTCACGATTTCACCCAAAGATATGCCAAATTTCGAATTTGCAATTCAATTCGCCAACACTTTCTTTTTTTCCCACGCCCCAAGAAACCAGATCGTCTATATGTCTATTCGATGCCACCAATATATAAATATATATGTATGTATATGCATGCAACTAGATCAGGTTCTTGAAACTAGTGACGTAGGCAGCCGTTTCGGCTTAAGCAGAAATTTTTGCCGGTTTTTCAAAGTCGTTGTCGCAAAAATGGAGAAAACCTTCAATCGTACATATATAGCCTGTAGTTTGAGTGTGTGTGTGTGTGAGAGAGCGAAAGCCAGACGATTTGCTTTTCGCCCCGAAACATGACCATATATGGTCACAAAAGTTGGCCGCCGCAACTCAACACACCAGCGCTCTCTGTCGCACGCATGCGACCCAAGGCGGGAGCGAGCGAAAGGGAGATAGCGAGCGCCGCCGACGCCGACGCGGGCAGCGATTGAAAACGCAGTTACTGGCATTCAACATTCACCACCGACTTCCAGCCGACTGTCGGTTCATTCCGTTCATTCCTCTCAAACCGTGCGGTCGCTCAGCTCAGCTCGCCCCTTGAGTTTACAGTAGTTTTCACGCCTGAATTTGTTTAATCGAACAAAAAGGTAAAGTTTTGGGTTTTCGCGTTGAGTGTTTTCCTTTTGTGGAGTGATAGTTTTTTTTTTTAATTTTATGTTTTAAGAAAAGTTTTGGCAGCCGCCATTTTAAGGGCGAATACACGCATACACACCCGTGCATTTACAAAGCTGTGCTCTCTTTGGCGGCTCTCTTTTGCACCGGCATTCGTTAAGTGCCGTCTAGAAGTTTCTCCCCTCCTTTTTGAACTTTTCATATTGCGGTTTTTTCGGGGTGGGGCTTTTCTTCCTCTCTTTCATTCTTTTTTTTTTTAACGGTTTTAAAATATTTTCAATACGAAATAAAGTTTGATAAAATAAAAGTAAATTATTTAACATTTCAGTTAGTGCAGAAAGTATTCTAAAAATTTAACAATTTTGTAGAATTTTTTCATATTTTAAATCACTATTTCGCCACTTAAAGACTACGAATTTTTTCATATTTAAAATTTTATTTTGTGGTTTCAAATGATCCCCAATTATTTTAAAAGTGCTTATTCACACAGCTTTTTTCCAATTTTAAACTTAAAATTAAAATAATTATATTTGAAAACTTAAAAGTTTTGGAATTTTTTCGTATTTAAAATATTATTTTGTGGTTTCAAATTATCCCCAATTATAAGTAGATTATTTAAAAAAAAAAAGTTTTACACTGGTAGACCAAAAAATCACACAAATGCCCAGCTTTTTTCCAATTTTCAACTCAAAACCCTCCAAAGATACTAAAGACTAATGATCCCCTATCTTTTCCCTTGCAGCTTACAAAATGTGTGACGAAGAAGTTGCTGCTCTGGTTGTCGACAACGGCTCTGGCATGTGCAAGGCCGGTTTCGCCGGAGACGATGCGCCCCGCGCCGTCTTCCCCTCGATTGTGGGCCGTCCCCGTCACCAGGGCGTCATGGTCGGCATGGGCCAGAAGGACTCGTATGTGGGTGATGAGGCGCAGAGCAAGCGTGGTATCCTCACCCTGAAGTACCCCATTGAGCACGGAATCGTGACCAACTGGGACGATATGGAGAAGATCTGGCACCACACCTTCTACAACGAGCTGCGTGTGGCCCCCGAGGAGCACCCCGTGCTGCTGACCGAGGCCCCGCTGAACCCCAAGGCCAACCGCGAGAAGATGACACAGATCATGTTCGAGACCTTCAACACACCCGCCATGTATGTGGCCATCCAGGCCGTGCTCTCGCTGTACGCCTCCGGTCGTACCACCGGTATCGTGCTGGACTCCGGCGATGGTGTCTCCCACACCGTGCCCATCTACGAGGGCTACGCCCTGCCCCATGCCATCCTGCGTCTGGATCTGGCCGGTCGCGATCTGACCGACTACCTGATGAAGATCCTGACCGAGCGCGGCTACTCCTTCACCACCACCGCTGAGCGTGAGATTGTCCGTGACATCAAGGAGAAGCTGTGCTATGTGGCTTTGGACTTTGAGCAGGAGATGGCCACCGCTGCCAGCAGCTCGTCGTTGGAGAAGTCCTACGAACTTCCCGACGGACAGGTGATCACCATCGGCAACGAGCGTTTCCGTTGCCCCGAGGCCCTGTTCCAGCCCTCGTTCCTGGGAATGGAGGCGTGCGGCATCCACGAGACCACCTACAACTCGATCATGAAGTGCGATGTGGATATCCGTAAGGATCTGTATGCCAACACCGTGCTGTCCGGTGGCACCACCATGTACCCCGGCATCGCCGACCGCATGCAGAAGGAGATCACCGCCCTGGCCCCGTCGACCATGAAGATCAAGATCATTGCCCCGCCAGAGCGCAAGTACTCTGTCTGGATCGGTGGCTCCATCCTGGCCTCCCTGTCGACCTTCCAGCAGATGTGGATCTCCAAGCAGGAGTACGACGAGTCTGGCCCCTCCATTGTGCACCGCAAGTGCTTCTAAGAAGGATCAGCAGGAGGAGAAGGAGGAAAGGGAGGAGGATCGGGATCAAGATCTTCTTGATTCTGTAGAAGGAGGAGGAGGAGAAGAAGGAGACGTCGAGGAAGCAGCAGCGAAAGTGCAAGTGCGAGTGGTGGAAGTTTGGAGTGCAGCACAACAACAACAACAAGATCAACACCAACAACAACAAGATGAAAAGAGCGGAACCACCTGCACACCATCATCATTATCATCATCGTTTTTTGGGCGCGTGTTGTGTGGTTCCAGCATATTAATTTAATTAATTTATTCCACTTGAGATATGATATGATATACTATGTATTTTTTGTTTTTTTTTTTATTTGTAAACCTTTAATATAACAAACTACGAAAAGAAAACAAAAATGATAATAAGCGAAAAAGCATATTCTGCCATTCCACCACACAAACACACACATACCAACAACAACAACACACGCACACCCACACTCACACACACACTTACACTTGCGGCATGACAAGGACATCAAGATGAAGAAGAAGATATTCCCCAAAGCGTAAAAAGAACACACACACATTGCAAAACACAAACAACACACTAGCGTTTTGTACAATTCGTCAGCAACCTTATGTATTATTTTTTAATTATGATGTAATTATAAACAAAGTGAAACAAAAATATGAAAACAAAAAGGAAAATCAAACTGTCTTCTCTTTCCCCCCCGCTCTCTTTCTCTTGCTCTCTGCTGCTCTCCTCGTCCTCCCTCTCACTCTTTCTCTCTCGCTCTCTCTTTGCCTCCCACTTTTTTGCCGGCCGGCAAAAATCACCCACACACACTCACTCACACACACTTGGCTGCAGTTTCGCGTGCGATATTCACACACATTCAAGCATACAAGCATATGTATTTTTTTTGATTTGTACACTTTTCTAATTGCATGCGTATCGAATGATAAGTTTACGCCTGAAAATGTTAATTAAAATGTGAAAATGCAACTGAAAAAAAGAAATGAAACAACTACAAGCGAACTATGTGGTATATGTATGTATGTATTTGTCAGGTACCGTTATTTTATTACAACGGTAGCTTTGGGGGAGAGGGAGATGGCGAGAGGTGGGTCGTTGAACTGATGCTGTGCAGATCACTCTGCTGTCTCGCTCGCGCGCACGCGCACGCATGCTAATGACGCGATTAAAGTGCCGTTTTAAGTGGCCAAGATCCAAATAAAAGCCAAGATAATAAGGCAAACACGCTAACACAAATCGCTGGCATAGTTTTATCAGCCACTTGTGGCCAAAAGAAGCGGCTCCAGTCGCCGTTTATCCGGTTTTTCCCCAACCGTTTTCCATTCATGGGGCCAAAGAAAAGGAGCACCCATCTCTCTGTCTTTGTCTAACGCACACAGGCCATCAGTACACTGGAAGAAATGGTAACAAGTGATCGTAAGGCTTGGAAGTTTAAAATCTTATGATTTATTTTAAATAAATTTATTTTTTCAAGTGTAGCTATGTATGGGCTCTGCTTGATTTGGCGCTCGGGTGCTACGGTAAAAGTTATCTTCTTGTGCTTTCTCCTTTGATTCTTGGGGTTCAACGGTTCCGTTTTTGTTGATCTCGTTCTTCTTCTTGTTCTCTTTCTAGCTGTTCTCCTTAGTTTTTTTTTTCGCAGCGGATTTCGTAGACACCTTGAGCGTTTTAATATAGTTATAGTTCGAATAATCCAAGATATTCGAATAAAAGATACCTATTAAACATCTTCTTCAAGAAAAAACAAATCAGTTTTTATTATATTATCCTATAGAAATATTATTTATTTTCGACTAAAATAAGCTATTAAAAGATACGATTGTTTGAAAGGACTGAATAAAGATTTTTAATTTTGAAATATATTTCAAATTTTTGGTTCCCCGAAAAGGTTTTAAAACACCTGCCGTTTACTGGGTATCGCACACGCTTACAAAGTAAGCCTATTCCTGAATATTCAGCAATGTGATCCCTTTTAGCCAAAGGTCAGAGGCGTGAGTGGCCGGATTTAAATATCCGCGCCTTGGGTCCGCCGTACTTCGCACAGAACCTCTTGGAACAGCGAAACGTGCGGAGTGGTATACGATATACGATACAGGAAACCCAAAAAACCGAATCACAATGACAATATCGGAAGCTTTTAAGGATCAGGAGATCTTTGTCACAGGCGCCTCGGGTGGGTATCATTTCGAAAAATAGTTTTTGAAAATTAGTTGTAGGTATACCTAAAATTTTTAAGTTTTTCATCTATATTTTATTTTTAGGCTTTGTGGGCAAGGCCCTGATCGAAAAGCTATTGCGCTCCTGTCCAAAACTGGGCCGGATTTACGTGCTGATGCGGCCCAAAAAGGGGCATTCCATTGAGGAGCGACTGCAGCTTCAGTGGGAGACGAGGCTTTACGAACGCCTGCGAAGGGAACAGCCCGATGCCCGATCCAAATTGGTGCCCATAGCCGGGGACGTGGAGCAGTTGGGCCTGGGAATTAGTAAAGCCGATCTTCAGCGGCTGCGTAATGTGAACATTGTCTATCACTCGGCAGCCAGTGTGCGGTAAGAGTATAATCTAGAGATTTTTGAAGGATTGCGATACCAACAAATATAAAACTACACCCAAAAAAATCGATATGAAACCTAGATCGATTTTACATTATTTAAGATCAATTTTAATTTGATTTGTGGCCAGGTAAATTTGACCTTGTCGAAGAGAGTATTTCATGTAAAAACGATATGGGTTTTGCATGACCTGAAATTTGAATGGCCATATTGATTTTACGGGATTTTACGGGTCTTACCTACCAATATCACACACATTTTATGTTAAATCGGACATTTTTAGAGTATAATTTTTTTTTTTACATTTTAGCTTATTGTTTTTATTGTTTTGTATTGTTTTAATGATCTTTTAATATTTTTTTATATATGTATTAGGAATTTTGAAACTGAAAACATGTATTTTTATTATTTCACATGAAATCAACTTAACTTAATACTTTTTCCATATTTCTCTTCATAGTTTCGATGATGCCTTGCGCACCGCCATTCTCTTGAATACCCGTGGCACCCACGAACTGGTCAAGTTGGCCTTGGAGTGGCGCAAACTCAAGGCCTTCGTCCATGTGTCCACCACGTACTCGAATCCTGGAGTTTTGGAGGTGGAGGAACGTGTCTATCCGCCGCTGGCCGATTGGCGTACCACCATCAAATTGGCGGAGACCTATGACGAGGAGATTCTCAATATCTTTAATCTCAAGTGAGTAAATGGGTTTAATAAATATAAGGAATTTGAATCTTATATCTATTTTGCAGATACGGAAATTTCCAGCCGAATACGTACACCTTTACCAAAAGTCTGGCCGAACAGGTGGCTAATGATTACAGGGATAAGCTGCCCATCTTCATCTTCAGGCCTTCAATTGGTAAGATTATTTAAGATCTATAAAAATGTTATAATAATATAATATACATGACAAACAGTGGTCTCTACGATTGAGGAACCCATGCCCGGCTGGGCGGACAACTTTAATGGACCCACTGGACTTTTGGTGGCCTGCGGCGTGGGAATTCTCCGCTCCCAAAATTGTGATCCCAATATTGTGGCTGATTTCGTGCCCGCCGATATTGTGGCCCGCACTTTGATCACTTCGGTGTACAAATTTATGGGTGAAAAATCGAAATCAAAAGCTAAGGAACTGTACGTGGTTAACTGTGCCACGGCGAATATTGCGCCGATTACCATGGGCGAGGTGATCGAGATTGGGAAGACGTTTATAAGGAAGAATCCCTTCGAGAAGACTCTTTGGCTGCCCGGCGGTGGAATGACAACCTGTCCGGTTCTTCACTTTGTGAGGGTGAGTTTTCTGGGGTCCATATAGTAAATTCTAGTATTTATAATTTCGAAAGGTATCCTATATCATAGGTCCTAAATGGGAAATATTATACCATACGACTGTATCAACCATTTTATATAACGGAAATGAAAATAGTTAATATTGAAATCCAATATTATCTTCAGTTTTTGGTGTCCATTGATCAATATATTTAATTCAAATTATCATTTTATATAATGAAAATTAACCAAAATCTTGGCTCCCATAGATACATATAGTAAATTTCAGTATTATAATTTGGAAAAGTATTTTATATCATAGGTCCCAAATGAGAAATATCATATCTTATGATGGTTTCAATACCATTTTGTATAATGGAAAACAATATTATCTTGAGTTTCGGGAATTTATAAAGTAAATTCCATTATTATCATATAGATTTTATTTTTTTTTATATATCCATAGATTTGTGTAGTAAATTCCATTCCTATAATTTTGAAAAGTATAATATATCATAGAGAAATATCATATCATACGATTGTATCATTAAAATGTTTTTATATTTCGAAAAGCAATGTTTTCTTTTAAAATGTTTGGTGTTTGTATTTGTTAGTTATTTATTTAAATTCAATATATTTCCAGTTCTGCACCATGCACCTTCTGATGGCTGTCGTTGTGGACACACTGCTCCGTCTCTATAATGAAAAGCCCTTGTGAGTGGAAATGGGATTTGGGGAGGAAGTCTAATATATGTGTGTAATTTCCTTTAATTATTTTCCAGCCTCATGAAGCTGCAGCGTCGGATTTTCGCCGCCTTTAGTGCCTTGCAAGTGTTTGCCATGACCGAGTGGCATTTTCAGAATGACAATTTCCGAGCATTGCACGATATAGTTCCGGCCAATGAAGTGTGAGTCCTTTTTAGGAAAAACATTAAACAACATTTTAAGTTTGCAGGCATTTTAAATGGTATAATAAATTGTATTTTTTTTCAGTTCGACCTTTGGCTTCATGCAGCACGCAAAAATCAATTATACGGAGTTTTTCCAGCACGGAATTCGGGGTGCCAAGGAGTTCCTCCTGAAGGAGAGTCCCGAGAGCAGCAGTGCCGCCCGATTCCGCGTAAAGATCTTCTACGTTCTCGACTTTTTGTGCCGCGGCATCGTCTATAGCTTTTTGCTGCGCCTGATATTCCGATTTTTAGTCAGCCTGTGGTAGCGCAACATTAAAAATAGTTTAACACTCTGGCATTGGTTTAATTCTGTTTATTTAAAGGAATTTACTTGTTAATTTACAATTAAATATGAATCAGAATTTTATAAGGTTGCATTTTGAATTTCCCGCCTGCTAGTTCGCCGATCTGGCAGCACTGTCAGGACGCCACCTGGCGGTCCGAGTGGCAGTCCCCTCAAAGTGGCAGCCCGGCGCAGGGTTGCTCTGAAATTGGCAAAAAACAAAATGGAGGCGTATAATATTTTTGTTTGGCATAGAATATAAAAAATCCCGAATTTGTGTGTGCGAGAAGCGCCGTAAACAAAGGCCGTAAAAGCGGACAAAACAGGGCAGTGCGAGCGGTTCTTGGAACGGTTTGATCGGCGCCCGCTGGAAGGGAACCAGCCGCATCGCGTTGGAAGTGCAAACAAAAAAAAAACAGAAGAAACCGGAGGAGTTCGTTCCACTGCATTCGCCACTCTTTGCTTTGCTTGCCCCTTCGCGGGAATTACCGCTAATTGGATTGGACTGGAAAGCGGCGGAGGAGGAGCGCGGCGGGGAAGAGGGCTAGGAGGGAGGATAGGAGGAGGCGAACCGCAAAGAGAGGACGCCGCGATGGCCACCACCCAGCAATATTCGCTGCGGTGGAACAACTACCTGCGCCACCTCACCTACTCCCTGGACAACCACCGGCTGAACGATGACTTCGTGGACGTCAGCCTGTGCGTCGATGGACGCAGGATCAAGGCCCACAAGGTGGTGCTCTCCTCCTGCTCCTCGTACTTCAAGGAGATCTTCAAGGAGAACCCCCATCCGCACCCAGTCATTATCTTTAAGTTCATCAAGTTTGAGGATCTCAACTCGATCATCGAGTTCATGTACCAGGTGGGTTCTCTGTGGATTTCGATCAAGGAATCAATACAATACCTTGTAACGATGTAATCTAAGATCCTGTGGAGTTTCATGGTGTTCTCCCTGAGGAAACCCAAGTTATGAAAGGTTATGAAAGTAATAGAACTTTCTGATAAATAGATTTCCTTTAAAATATCTTTGCTTTATGTGAAATAAGATGGTTTGAATACAACATCTGGTAGAGTTTCATGGTGTTCTGCCTGAGGAAACCTATGTTATGAAAGGCAACCATGAAATATAATCATCCGATTCGAATAGAACTTTCTGAAATAAAGTTTTCCCTAAAAAAATATTCTTGTTTTATGTGAAACAAGATGGTTCGATAGCCTACTTATTTTCAATTTACTTTTCAAAAAACCTTTAGAGAAACCTTATAAGTGTAGGCTTAATTACACGTTATTGCCAACCTAATTTTAAAGTGCAATAAAATGATTACTTTAAAGTCCTCAAAAGCCTATTAGATATATTTAGAAAACTGGAAAAAAAATTTTAAAGGGCTATTAATAATAATTTCATAAATATGTCATATATTTAAATGTTCCGAAAATATAAAATGTATTTGGATTTTTATCATAAATATGTCATATATTTAAATGTTCCGAAAATATAACTCTATAAGTATTTTTGAAGGGTTATCAATAAAAATAATAATAATTTCATAAATATGTCATATATTTAAATATTCCGAAAATAGAAGGTCTATTAGGATTTTTAAAGGGCTATCAATAATAATAATACAATTTTCATAAATATGTCATATATTTAAATGTTCCGAAAATAGAAGATCAATTAGGACTATATAGGACTTCCTTTCCCCAGTTTACTTCTGATCTGAACTAATTTTCCCTCCATTTTCAGGGCGAAGTCAATGTGCAGCAGGAGGCGCTGCAATCCTTCCTGCAGACCGCCGAGTTGCTGGCCGTCCAAGGACTCACCGCCGAGGAGAAGGAGAAGCCGCAGCTCCCGGTGGCGCCGCTGATCAGCGAGCACAAGCTGATCAAGACCATACCGAGCACCATACGCGCGGTCAACGAGCAACAGCAGCAGCAGCAGCAGGTGGCCAATGTGGCCCAGGCGCAGACGGCCACGCAAACCATCGAAATACCCACGGCCACGCTGCTGCAGGCGACCACCGCCAGCCAAGTGCAATCGCAGGTGGTGGCAGCTGCCGCAGCGGCCGCCCAGCAGTTGCAGGTGCAGCAGCAGCAGCAACAGCATCACCATGTACAAACCACCCAGATTCAGCACATTCAAGTGCAATCTGCACCGCCCCCGCAACAGCAGCAGCAACAGCAGCAACAACAGCAGCAACAACAGCAGCAGCAGCAATCCCAGCAGCAACAGACGACGCCTGTGCAGACGCAACACCTGACCATCACCAATGCGGTGGCCCTGCCGGCGGCCAGTTCGGTGAAGAAGCGCAAGATCACCTTCTCCGACGACGATGACAACATGTACACCACCGAAACCGTTGACTATGCCGTCAAGGATGAGCAGACCATAGTGAAAAGTAGGTCTAAGGGTTCCAACTATTATCTATCTACTAGAGTCCTGCATGAATGGATTCAATGAATTATTTTGAATTTTTTGTTTTATGTGAATTAATTAATTCGAATTTTAAGTTTAATAGAATTGAATGAATTTTGGGTTTAATAGAATTAAATGAATTCGAATTTTGAGCTTAATAGAATTGAATGAATTTGAATTTTGAGTTTAATATAATTGAATGAATTTTGAGTTTAATAGAACTGAATCAATTTGAATTTTGAGTTTAATAGAATTTAATTAATGTATGGCATTAACATTGATTTGTAAAAATTTTCCACTTTTTGTTAGCAAAAGAAAGCACAACAAAAATCTGGCAAATTCAAAAAATGCATAAAAATTATCCATTCATTCATTCAATTTGAAATGAATTAGAAAACCATTTAATTTTTATGGTATACTATGATAAAACAAAAATCTACTATCTACATTCCTAATAATTCACTCTGATAATCTCCCTTTTTAGCTGCCGAGATGACTTTCCTGCGCGGCGCCGTCAAGATGGACATACCCGACTATATTGTGGGCGAGGTGGATGACCGGCTGTCGGACGGAGCCACGCCGCAAACGTCGCAGGACGCCACCACCGGAGCGGCCCAGAATGTGGCCCAGTACTCGTCCGAGTACGAGATACTCACCGAGTCCGAAATGGAGGAGAAGTTCCAAGCGGATGCGGACAACACAGAGATTGCCATTGAGATGAGTGAGTGACTGAGTTAAAAGAATAAGGAATACAATTATTAAAACTGTTATTATTGCTCCATTTTAGCCCGATTGCTGGGCACCGCCAGCGGGACGGCGGGCGCGAATTCCGGCCAGGTGATGGAGGATGCGGGTGGCGGCGGTGCGACGACTGGTTCCTCGACTACGGTGTCTGTGACGCCGGTCAAATCGGACAGCAAGGCCAGCGGGACGAACGGTGAGTCTGAAGGCCATAGATTTAGGTTTGGAGTCCAAAGAGCCCTGCGTGAATCATTCAATTTTTGTTTTATCATAGTATGCCATGAAATTTATGATTTGTTTAATTTAATTCTGAATGTTTTTCTAATTCATTTGGAATTGAATGAATCAATGAATAATTTTTATGCATTTTTTGAAATTGCCTGAGAACAAAAAGTGAAACATTTTTAACAAATCAATGTTAACTGCTTAGAAAATTAAAATTCATGCAGATTTAATCTCAAAATATGGCCCTTTCTTCTTCAAAAGAAATATGGAGTTCATGCCATTCATTTCTATTAAACTCAAAATTCAAATTAATTCATTCATATAAAATAAAAAATTCAAAATAAATTATTGAATCCATTCATGCAGGGCTCTACTTCAGATTTAAGAACTTTCAAGGGGTTTTATTATCGTCTAGACATTATAACAGAGATTTTTGCATGTACACACAAAAATGTATTTAAATGAATGTATTTCTTTTTAATTTCTTGAGTTTACCCGATTTTAATTGGTAGCTAGAATAGAATTTACATATTTCATAAGTTTCTAATTTAATTATTTTTATTTCCCTGTATTTTAAGTTAATTTAATGGCTTTGAGTGGTTGTGGATAAGCCTTAAATTTTGTGTACCATAATATCCTCCGTAGTTAATTGTTTGATCATTTACCCATATGTTAAATGTTACATATTTATTTATCCATTAGTTGTTGTGGTTGTCGAATATGTCTCCAAAAAACAAAAAATGCCAAGATAATTAGAGAGCGCGAAAGCATAGAGTTAGACTGTTATATTGATTGTACGTATTTTCTGTATATTTTTAGATTCGCCCAATAATAAGTGGACAGAATGTCAGTTTTGCAAAATGGTTATAACCACGGTTAATCTTTGGAGACATATTCGCACCCAACATACCCCACAACCGCCGCGCAAGTGCGACCTGTGCAATAAGAATTTCAAGAATAAGTACAGTCTGCGGGAGCACATACGCATCTCGCACGAGCAGAAGGTGTCCATCAAGACGGAGAACTGATGCGTGCTCATCAGCCTCGGATCGATAGGATATATGCTTAAGGGAGAGAGATATAGTTAATTACGTCCAGCTTAGCGAGAAGCCAACCAACCAGCCAGCCAACCCATTTACCCTGTGTTCCCATCAAAGGCCCCCCAAAAAAACAAAAAAACAAAAAACTAGCCAAATTTGTCAACTCAAATGCAAAGCAGAATGAAGTACATAGCGTACGTTTTGGGCACTCAAATAGCCCTCGATGTTGTTTAGCCCCCAATATATAGTTCTATATATATAACCCCATGATAGCCACTAAGTCAAGTCAGTCAGTCAGCCGGAGAGTGGAGCTGGTAATCATCCCGTCGTTGACCAAGCCATGTCATGTGTCCACGTAATACGTACATGTACCACTTGTATTTTAGTCCACAACTTGCTTTAGTTACTTCCTTATATCGTATATAGTTAGTTGGCAAAGTACAAGCCCTTAAAATCCATTGACACAACCATTATGTATATATAAACACACACTGAACCGAAAACACAGGAATCTTTGGAGATTGCAGCTCAGATAGAGTGATAATATATAAAAAGAAAAGCAGTACAGATCACGAGGAATAGAATTTTTAAGTTACCTTAAATCACTTTACTTAGTTGTGGTGCCCGAAATGTATTATTTTGTTCTTAAAACTCTGATATTATTCAGTTTTGTATATAGAGCTAGGCGACTTAACATACTTTTAGAAACTATCACCCCAAAAAAAAAGGGATTTCTGTGGCAGCGCCAAAATAAATTTAAACCGATTTAATTCCCGAAAAAAGCTCTGTACTTTGCTCACAAAAACGAAAAAGAAAAATACCCCTTGTGTACAAATTTACGATACGATAAATAATACCCAATTATCCAGCGCGCTTTTCGACCATCTGTGTTCAGCATTAGAGCGTTGGCAGTTGAATGTAAATTAGCTAAATTAGTTTTAGTTTTAGTTTAAGTTTAAGCCGCCCTCCACCCAAAAAATTTCGATCGGACATAGTTTAGTTTTTTTGGTATAACTTAGTTGAGTAGCCCACACGAGCCAAGTGAAAACGGAAGTCACTAGGATTAGTTGAAAGTATTTTCCAAAACAAACAAAAAAAAAAAAAGAAAAAAAAGAAGAAAAAAATCGAAACCTGTAGAAATCCTCTCTAAGACAAACTCAAAACGCGGATACATACTAAAGATAATCTAGTTAAATGGATAAAAAAAAAGAAGAACTCATACGTATTACTTAACGATCCACATATTGATCTATGTATACACATATAGTTAATGTTAAATCTCTAAATGCCCAAAGTTCGGACTGCACCGTAATCGTTTGGAAAATCCAGATTAAAAAATACCAACCCACCATCCAATATTTTTCCCCACTTTTGCTTAGGATCTCAAAGGAAAGAAAATGTAAAGATGGGTTTTACGGCCCAAATGGGACTGGGATTTGGTCAGTCCGGTCAGTTGGGCATCACATAGTCCATAGGGATTATTATCGGAGATTCCAATTCCACCCCAAAAACACTAAGTCTAAGAAATGTGTATGTAGATTGATTTAAATGTACACACATCAACGAAATGAAACTAAATTAATCAATTTAATTCGTTTTGCTAGAAACAGAGAAAAGAAAGAGACAGCTGCAAAGGGCGCGAGAGAGAGAGGGAGAAAAAATAAAAGAATACATGTAAACCATTCAAATGTTAAATTATTTGTTTACTGGGTTTTAAAAAGGGGTTTTTAAACTGCTTGGCAAAATGATCTTATTAAAAATTTATATTTCTTTCAGCGGCAATGAAACAGGAACCGGGAACTGAAGCTAGCAGTGCCGCAGAAGCCGTCGAAAGCGGACGAACTGCACCGCCAGCGGCTGTTAGTGATGAGGAAAACGCCCAGGACACCGGTCTCGCACCACTGAGCTGCAGTTTCTGCAGCAGACACCTCAAGTCGGTGAATGCCCTACGGCGACACATTGCCTCCCGGCACTCGGAGATCCAGGGAAAGGAGCACGAGTGCTTCATCTGCATGAAGAGCTTCAAAACCAAGTGGTCGTTGTCCACCCACAACTCCCGGTTCCATCGCGAAATGGGCTGCTCGACCAAGGGATTCACCAAGATCGAGTATACCGATCACTGAACTAAAGCTCGCCATTAATTAGAATTAAATAAGAGGTTAATACGTACAAGTAGATTGTATTTTATCATATCATAGATTTTGTTGTTTTCCATTTGTGGCAAGTGAGTTGAAGCCATCCTAATCATGCTCACACAATCATTTGATATCGGTTTCTAAATTAGAACCATTAATCATGGGTTTCGAAAATGTTTATTTAAATTTTTTGACTGGCAAAGATAACTTTGAATAAGTCAGTATTTAATTTATAATTTCTGTAGTTTGTACTTTAATTTTGATAAAAACAAAAGTAATTTTAACCAGGGACCGTAAATAATCATTATTTGAGATTTTTATTTTAAAAAGACTACTGTGATATTTTGTTTAAAACGTCAAAAATAACGTTCTTTTTACTCTTATCCACAAAGGATATGCATTTTAACTAATCTGGAAGCCAAATTAACTGTTTTTTGTTCATGTCTATAAAGTGCTAGAAAACCAGTTAAATTGTTGATTAAAATATGTAAAAACCTCAGTAGGCCTTTTAAAATAAAAATCTCAAATAATGATTATTTACGGTCCCTGATTTTAACTATTACTTTCTGTTACTTCACTGTTATATAAATCAATTTTGAAAAGAAAATGTTGTCATTAAACTGATTTGCTAATTTTTAGATTATAGAACCTTTTTACCAAAACCAATTCAATCCTTTGCAGTGAATACAATTTTTTTAAAGGAGTATTGCACTAGTTGACAAAATAATTTTTGAAAATCACAAAAAAGAAATCCTTAAAATTTTGTATTGGTATACATTTTTTTATGTTTTTATAATAATTTCTTTACTTATAAAAATCCATTAACAAAATGATTTCTACCAGGAACCACCATCATGCTTCTTGGTTTATTTTCAAAAATTATTTTGTAAGGTAGTGTTATTAAAAAATAAACCATTTTTCGGAAGAGTAGGGTAAAAGCCTGTTTATAAAACCCAATTCAAGCATTTCATTTGATTTTTGCCTGACTTAATCACTTCTTTTGTTTAAAATTGCCACCAAAAATAATTAATTAGTTCATGTACATACAAACATACTCGAAATTCCAGCCCCAATAAAACCCCAAAGTTATGATATATGTAAATTAAAATGCGTTTAATGACTTAACTACTATTTCACTTGAATATTGTGGAAAATTTGCAATTCATAAGATTTCTTTTTCGTTTTCGAGGGTGCAAATAAAGAGGGTAAAAAAAAAGACGATCAACGAATTAGAGGTTCTCCAGACCGGGCAGCGGGAACTTCCTGCTGAACTGGGCCACTCCCCTGCGGATCTCCTCCACCTGGGCCTTGATCTCCGCATTCTCGTCCAGCGCCTTGTGGTAGTCGGCCAACTTGGGACTGCTGGCCGCTTTGGCCGCCTGGGCGCCCACCTTCAAGGCGGCATCGATGAAGGCCACCACCTGCTCGATGTCCTGCTCGGCGAGACCGCGAGTGGTCAGAGCCGGTGTGCCCAATCGAATGCCCGAAGGATTCAGCGCGGATTTGTCGCCCGGCACTGTGTTCTTGTTGCAGGCAATGCCCACCTCCTCCAGGATATATTCCGCCTTGGCTCCCGTCAAGCCGGCCTTGCGGACATCGACCAGCACCAAGTGGACATCGGTGCCGCCGGTGGCCACCTGATAGCCCCGCGAGATGAGCCCATCGCACAGGACTTTGGCATTCCGGAGCACCTGCGTCTGATAGGCCTTGAATTCGGGCGTCTTTGCCTGCCTGAAGGCGGTGGCAATGCCGCCCACCGCATTGTTGTGCGGACCACCCTGGAGCGAGGGGAAGACCGCCTGGTTGATGCGCTCCTCCAGATCGTACAGGATCTTCTCGCCGTTCGCCTTCGTGCTGCGCACTCCCTTGCGGAAGAAGATGACGCCGGCGCGAGGACCTCTCAAGGTTTTATGCGTCGTCGTAGTCACAATGTCGGCGTACTCAAAGGGCGACGGAATCAATCCGGCGGCCACGATGCCCGCCACATGGGCCATGTCGGCCATCAGATAGGCGCCCACATCGTCGCAAATCTGACGGAATCTCGCATAGTCGAGCAGGCGCGAGTAACACGAGATGCCGGCAATGATGATCTGGGGACGGAACGTCTTCGCCGCCTCCGCCAACTTGTCGTAGTCAATGATGCCCGTCTCCGGATTCACCTTGTACGGCATGCTCTCGAAGAAAATGGACGTGGCCGAGATTTTCTTGGTGGGCGTGAAGAAGCCGTGCGTCAAGTGACCACCGTCGGGCAGATCCAAACCCATAATTCGGTCGTGGGGACGACAGACGCCCGTGTAGACGGCCAAATTGGCCGGAGATCCCGAATAGGGCTGCACATTGACGCCCCACTTGTCGTCCTCCAGGTTGAACAGCTCGCGACCTCGCTTCTGGGCGAGCAGCTCCACGCGGTCGATGAACTCGTTGCCTCCATAGTACCTGGGAATTGCGAGGAATTGGGATTAGTTCGGGATCGTTTTAGTATAGTATATAAACTATTAGAGCTAAAAAATATTTATTATTCAAGAAAAAGTATAATTTATATACTATAAGAGTTAAAGAATATTTATATTAAAGAAAAAGTATAATTTATATTTAAAAAACTAAAAATCAAGGATCTATGAGGATCCAAGCCCTATCAAACAGATCTATAGAGCCCACTAATAATATAATAATACGGGTATATAAATATTATATAATATGACATGATAGGTATGTATATGATAAGATAAAGGTTTAATATTTAAGTATTTTAAAATCCGGAGTTGAAAAATAAAATAAGATGGGTCTGTAAATATTATATGATATGACTTAATAGGTAAATTAGCTTTAAAATTTAATTATTTCAAAATCATTATAATATTGGATAAATGTAGGTAAAGTAAAATATATCTACAGGTTTAGAAAAGGGGAACACGGTCACTCAAATTATATTTAATATGAGTTGAGTAGTATAGGAATAACTAAAAATCATGGACTAATAAGGATCCGATCCCTATTATACAGATTTATGGAGCCCATTAATAATAAAATAATATGGGTCTATAAGTATATTATGATAATATGTGATATTATATTTGATAGGATAAAGGTTTAAATATTTCGAAATGCTTATAATATTGAATTAAAGAAGATAAAGTAAATTATATATAAAAGCAAAGGATAATATGTAATACGAGTTGAAAAATACAGGAGTAATTAAAAAGCATGGATCGAAGAGGAATACAAAAATAAGTAGAAAGATTGATATCAGATCTATAAATCCGACTGATAAAATGTAAAATCGTTCCATAAATATTATTATTATATATTATTATATGATTATTACTATATATGATCTACACTCACCTCTTGCCGGGATATCCCTCGGAGTACTTGTTGGTGAGGCAGGAGCTCAGACTCTCGAGCACCGCCACCGAGGTGAAGTTCTCGCTGGCGATCATCTCGAGACCCTCGCGCTGGCGCTCCTTCTCCTTCTTGATCAGATCGGCCAACTCGGGATCTCCCTGCTCCAGCGGGGTTTGCAGCATCTTCTGATCGGCCATGTTCTGTTCGTAATTAAGAAATATACTGGTTATTATTTTATTTATATATACTATATAGACTGCAGTGCAATGCGATGCGTTTGGCAAGACGATCGCTGGGTTTGTGCGGACTATGGAAAAACGATCCCTGCCTGGTCAGCTAAGCGCATGTTTACATTTCATTTCGAAACAACAAAAATATTTATGTTCCCGCGAGAATTGCGAAAATCGCAAACAAATGTGTACAGGTTCAATGGGTTCAAATAGCATTGGAAAAGTTCTGTTGATAAGGCGGCGGACGAAGCTATCGCCAAGCGGAGATTAGCCATCGATGCACCATGGCAACCACTTGAGGCGGGCTTCTTTCTCGATTAGATTGGCCAAAATAAACGCTTAGGTGATATAACACCCGTAACACCCATTATTTTGGGTCATCAATCGCCCGGGCTCGAAAATGCGACCCCCCATGGATGGGAGCGAAGCTATTTGCGTCCCGCTTATCGCTCTATTTGTATGTCCGTCCGTGTCCCACCGTCTGGGTCACGAGTTCAAGTCCCCGGGCGATAAGGACACTGCGTGCCCCCTTCGGGGCTGACGCACTTCGGAAAGATCGGGAAACATATAGGTAGTCGAAACAAGCCAAGAAAAAAATCAGAAATACAAAAATTAAAATGGGAAAATTAAAAAAAAATTTAATTCATATTAGCCGATTATAATAAATATTTTTTACAGAACTGTATATTAAACTGTAAAACTATATGAATACAATTCTCATTGCTTTACAATTATTATTTCTTAATTATATTTCTTAATTTTGTTAAGGACTAACATTTAATTTGTGTTTTCCTAACATTAGTTAAAGATAGAATGTAAAAAATAGGTTCAGAAATGTGGAAGTGTTAATAACCCTAATAACTTTATTTAAATTAAAAAAAAAAAACCAACCTTGAAAGGCGTAGTAAATAGTTCAAAGTTAAATGGAAATATGCCAATACAAAAAGGGAACAAAACTAGTTTACAAAATAAACCAATTTAAATAAGCTTTAGATGTTGGCAAAAACAAATGAGTTTAAAAAAACACTAAACACGTGAATTTATAAGATCATTTTTTACAACTAAGATAAATTGTGGGCAATAATAAGTTTTACTCAAAAGGTTTTTAGGTGTTTTTAATTTGTTTAGCTTTAATAAGTTCTTAATAGACTCTTTGACAATCACTGGACGATTTTGAATTTGGCACTTGCTATTCACTACAAAAATTAATTGGATACACAAACTTTAAAAGTGAGTTTTGAATGCACGATCTGGAAACAGGTAATTCCCCTTAAATTGAATGCTAATTTCTGGCCACGAGTCAAGTGCAAAATATTGTGCGAAATATTTGCCGGTATACCTCCATATGTACGTATATCTACCCACACACTCTTCCATTGGCTATGGAAATTCGATTTAATGGTCATTGCCAGATGTTTTTTTTAGTGATATCAGTGTTATTGTGTGAACAAGTGCAAAAGAGAAGAACAAAAACACTGTTTGATAGGGCCAAAAAGCCAAGAAATTCGAGTAGGCCTAAACGAGTTTAAGGCTGGCTAAAAAACATTAATCAAAAATAATAAGGCTTGGCAAAGCGGAGCTTTTAATACCCTACCTTATATCAACGTTACTACCTAATATAATAAATACCTAAAGGCCTCCAAATTTCACTTTTTTTTAATTTATGATATTTACAATAGATAAAGAGATCTAAATCACAATCTTACTACTATAAATATAGAACCATCTTCTATTAACTTTGCTAACTAATATAGAAAAATGGTTATAATCAACCGAAAATATCTGAAGATCTCCAAAGTTTTATTTTTTTTTTAAATAATGATATGCACCGTAGATAAATAAATCTCTATCATAATCGTACTACTATAGATATAAAACCAAAACAGTTTAAGCGATGATAACTATTTTCCGGGGTGGAAGATAACACCACAAACAAACTACTTTCCACAGTTGTTAAACTCCACGTAAGGGTAGAATTTTAAAAGAAAACACATGGTTTGAATGAAAACGAAGCACATGGGCAGAACTAGGGGTAAACAAGCCCCTCTATAAAGCCGAACCACTATTTAAAGCGCCGATCCCTGGGAGGCACTACTCCCTCCTGATGTTTACTTCTTAATTGCTCTATTTAACGCGAATTTAGCTGTTTTCTTTGTACGATTTCCTATAGCTCACTCACCTTTAAAGCGCTCTGTTTGCAGTCCGAAAATCGTCTGATCGCCGAGAATAATGCCGATGGCGATAGCGTCTGATTTCTGGCGGCGACGCGAGTTAAAGCTCCGCTCAGCTTTCTCGAGGCGAAGTTAACCGGGTTCTTAACTTGGGTGTTCAGGTCCCGACTAAAGCAAAACCGAAGCTTTTGTGGCAGTGTAGAGCGCGCCTGCTGCATGTCTATGGATCTGGTAAGAAGTGAGGATATTTATAAAATAAAAATATATTTATAAATATTTTTTATAGATTTTTTTCCGCCTTTTTGTAACACTCACACGGCTGCGTTCGAATCGGAACTGCCGGAAAAAAACAAGCGTCGCCGCCGAGGAGATGGAAACGACTGAACTCAGCTGATAAGCGATTAAGATAACCCCTGACCCGTAACCCCGTGATAAGGCCGCCCAAGAGTTCCACTGCCTCTGGTCGTTATCTCTTGGCCAGCATCCGAAATTCCAGAATTCCACAAAAAATCAAAAACACGCGTAACGACGTAAACAATGTTTACTAAGCGGTATCAGCTGTTTGGATTGAGTGGTCGGATCGATGGATTTAGGAGCTTTCGCGACGGTCTGGCAATGCTAACTGCAATCAACTACTTTTTAAAAGAAATTTTGAATTTATAGCCATAACTGCACTTTGGGTAAGCTGCTAAATTGTTAAAAATTCAACAACAATTTGTTGAATTGTTCGTTGTTAGTTACATTCTAAAATTATTGCATTTTTAGAATAGAGGAGCATAAAAACATTTTCTAGGTATTCATTAATTATTTTTAAATATGTGAAAATCCGAAAAATGGCCGAAAATGTTATTCCGTAATATATGGACAAAACTAAAACTAACATTGGGCCTTAACTAATTTGTTAGTAAAAAAAACTTTAAAGTCATAACAAATAATAATAAAACGTAAGGTGAGCACCGTGTTTCACAATTTTAAATTTTACCTCTTTATTAAATTAAAAGCTTATACGGTAGTGTGATTTCAAATTTAGCGGGAAAAGTGGATTTTTTAGTGGTATTCCCCTTTCGACATGTGGCAACCCTGGCCGACGTCGACTGCTCACTTAAAACCCAATTGCCGCGCCGAGTTGATAGTCTTAACTTAGACGCGCTTCATTGCAGTCAAAAGCCAGATACTGCGGTTAAAAGTTGAAACCATAACAAAACATGAACAAAATATTCTAAAATATTAAAAAAGAAAAAGACACTTTAGTTTTGGAGTTTTGGTAATATTTTGCAAGACAATTTAATGACAATTTTGTGGTTGGTGTCAAATAATTACAATATTCCAAGTGTTTACCGTTAACCGCACAAAAAAAGCGCGCGATTTGAATTTCCTGTTTTTTTTCAAGTTAACCAAAAGCAAAAACAAATGATATAAAAATGTATGAATGAATGAATTTTTTTCGCCAAAATCTGCTGCGTGTGCAATTCAATTCGAATAACAAAACAAAAAAACAAAGAAAGGCAAAAAAATAAACGAAAAGAAAAGATACCGCGAAAAGTCATAAAGAAAAGGTGAGAAAACAAATTATTTATTTCATGTGCTAAAAAGACACGCAAAACGAACGTCGTTTTATTTTTAGCCAAACAAAAGTTGTGTGTTATTTGTGTGATTTTTGTTTTTTGTTTTTGGCCGCCACTCTCCTCTTTTTAATAATATATTTTGTGCTTTTTTTGCATGTTTTGTTTTGTGCGTGTTTTTTGTTGAATAAAAACAAAAAAAAAAAAGGCGAACAAAATATTACGATAAAAATTCCGTTGTTCTCGCCGAAGGTTTCCGGGTTTGTTGACTTTGCCAGCTGAATATTCGAAATTGACATAATTATCATATGCAATTATTGTAAACAATTGTTTTGCGCCCAGGAAACGATTGCCATTTTTTCTTCACTTATTGTAATTTTTTTGCAAACTAATTGCGGAGATAAAAAAAATGGAAAAGAAAAAACCCATAGACCTGCAAAAAAATAAATTAAATTCATAGGCCAGTAATTTACATTTTTTGTCTACGGCTCTCTGTTTTTCTGTCTAAGCTTGATAATTAAGTTTTTTTGTGGCCTATGGAAAAACGCTACAAATTTCCCCGCGCACTCTATTGTTGTTATTCCCCCACAGTCGTGCACAATATAGTAGTAGATGTTTTAGAAAAATTAGCATTAAACATTTTATTTTATTTATTCTTAATTAAGTCATTTTTAAAAACTACATTTATCAGAGAAATATATAGATATTTTTAGGCTGGTCACTAAAATTTTTACCATGACTGTCTAACTTTTGGGGCGATTTTTTGTGCTCGTTTTTTGGTTTATCGGTTTCGCTTGTTTGTGTGGCTTATAGTTTTTCTTCTTCCCTTGTCTTTTTTTGCCATATTTTTTGTTGTGGTTTTAAGTTTTTTTTTCTTGGCTTTTTGTACCATTTGTTTGTTTTATTTATTTTTGCTGAGAGAGGCATTTCCGCCTCTACGGCAAAAGCAATTTTCAATTTACGTGTTTCTCTCTTTTTTTTACTGTACTGCAATTCATTTTTACAACTTTAATTATATGAACAAAAAACTGAAAAACATGAACGGCAAAAATTAAAATTGCAAATCGCATTTGAGTGATGTCGCCGTCAACGTTTCTCTGGCCTTTTGTTTTTGTCGGCTGTTTTATTCGATTTTTTGTTTTCACAGCGGCATTCGCCTGCGCAAAAAAGCAGCGAATAAAGTGGGAGGAAGGGAGAGGAGAGGCGAAGTGCGAGAGAGAGGCGCAAAATCTGCGTGTGATGGTATCAGGGGCGGATTTAAATATTTTAGAGGTGTGCTTAGTCTCCAAAAATGCAATTGCATAATAAGTAATAATAAATGTTTTGATTTTTTGACTTTAATTATTTGTTTAGACAAGCCCCCACTAAGAGTCCAAAATCCCCCATAATTTAGATTCGCCCCTGTATTATTGTGTGTTAGTGCTTGTGTGCGTGAGTGCTCTCTCTCTTCTGCTCTCTGGGTCTCCATCCTTCCCCATCTTCATCTTCCAATCTTCTTTCCCCCTTCCTCCTGCGCCCCACTCACACACATTTCAATTACATGTGAACGCGTGCTCCAAATTTCAAGTTCATTGTCCAAAAACAAAACAAAACAAAACAAAACAAAGCGATAACAAACAAAAACAAAAACAAGGGCAGGTCACCATCATCCATCGATACTGACACGCCCCCTTACGGCCCTCAAAATTTGGTAGTATTGTGTTAAATAATTCCCTGATTTTTAATGGTTTATTATGTAAGAAGTGTAACAATAATAATAATAATAATAATATACAACAATGTGCATTTGAACCTCTATTCAAGAAAAAATGCTAATATTTTGGGTTCAAAAAAAGGTTCAAAACTATTTAAAATTCCCTTTCCTACAAATTTGCATAGATCCCAATTTAAATATCATACATTTTTCATGTGTTCTTTAGAAAATAACTGAGTAACTTACAAAAAATGTATCTGCCCAAGCAAGATAAAAATAAAATAAAAAAACCCCAACAATAGATAGGGTATTCCCGCTGTCTTGTCCCCCATAAAAGAGGCAAGTATAACAAAATCACACTTATTTTCGTGTTATTCCGCAACCAAATCAAAATTCTTTAGAAAAACAAAAACAGCAGTAGGAAATAAAGCACAAAAAACGACACAAATTTTGACACGAAATATTGTTTTTCGTGTCTGATTATTTTGTTATTGGCTTTTAACAGAGCACTCTTTTTTTTTTTTATTTGCCATTCCAACTTTTAATTTAGTTTACTCTTTTTGCGTCTTTTTTTGGTGGGTAAATAAAGTTCACTTACGCAAATTTACAGTTGTTTATGTTTTGCGACCTACACAAAAAATAAAAATCATAATAATGCTTTTCGAATACCTTAATTTATTCAATGTATTTCCTTGAAATTTCCACAAGGTTTTTCATTTCTATTTGCTTTTGTGCTGAAAAAGGGCTCAATATTTTTTGCAGCCTTTTCTTTTTCATTGAGCTTTTTTTTTGCTCTCCTCATTCTCTGATATCAGCTCATATTTATAATTAAAAACAAACAAACAAAAAAACTACTCTGCAGGCGGCAAATCAGAAAAATGAAAACAAAAAAAATTAACAACGCCAGAAAAATACATATATTTATTTTGATGTATTTGTATTTGTGTGTGTGTGACTGCGGGGCAAGAAAATAAAAATACAAACTAACAAACACGTTAGGCAAATTTCGCTGATAACTTCGAGAAGTGGTGAAAATACTGGGGCACTGAATATAAAAAAAGAAGAGAAGAATACTTATAATACGAAAACAAAAAAAAGCTGAAATCAAAGCAATGGGGGAGAGATAAAAACTATTTCCGTCGCATAAAGCCAAGCGAAACAATGGGAAATAATAAAGAAAAGTAGAGAAAAATACCCGAACCCAAACCGAAAACCGAACCCTCCATTTAATCGCCCTTCGAAAGTTGAGAATTCTTTTGGCTCCCCGTTTCTTTTTCATATATTTTTTATTTTTCCGTTTGTCCAAGGTTTTTTTTCAAATCAAATTATGTCGCGATCGAAAATCACAAAAAAGGCAATACAAATACGGCCTCTATTTTTATGCAATTAACCGTCGGAAAAAAAAAAACAAAATTTCAAATTGGAAAGATAAAAACAAACAAAAACACACGCACACTCCAAATGGGGAACAAAAGCGAACTCTACAAAAATCACCCAAAACCGAAACCAAAAAAAAAATGCACACACATTTATATGTTTTATATAGCGAATACGAATCGAAATTATGAATCACAAAACGTTTTTTGTGGTCTGCCTTTTTTTCCTTTTTATTGTTATTGTTAGTAATTTTTTTTGGTTTTTTTCGTTAATACATTTTAATTCAATTTTGTTTCTTTCGCTTTTTTAATTTATCCGCTTCCGTGGCAATGTGGCATTTTATTTCTATTTAATTTGCAACAATATTTCAGCTTAAATTGTGTTACTGATTCAATTATATTTACTTTTCTATTAATTCAATTTGTACTTGTATGTGTGTACTTTATTTATTTTTTCCTTTTCGTTTTTTTTGCCAGAAACCTTGGCTGATAAGGGAGCTTTGCAAAAATGCATTGTGTAAACTTGATTTGGTTTTAGAGGGTTTTGTTGGAATGCAGGGAAATTAGAGTGGACCTTTTTGAAATCGAATAGATCTTATCAATAAATCCATAAACTAAAATAGTGTTTTAATATATATATTTTTCTGGAGAAACATTAACATTATAATTAAATTAGCGAGTGGACCTCTTGAAAATCTAATAGTTCTTTATATATATAATTTTCTATTATAAAATCTTAAAGTTAACCCCAAAGAAGGAATATTGAATATTAATCTAAATAAATAAAAACAATCTTGTTGCTGCATAATGAGTTAAAGATTATAAAGGCAGAAGATTACAGGGTTCATTTCTATATCAGTTTAAACATTTATAGCTCTATACGAGTAAATACTTTTTATGCCCCGAAGAAATCCAAGTTTTTATCAAGTTCTCTGAACCGCAACAGGTTCAAAGTGTATCCTTTTGTACTCCTTTATCGACCCCCCTTCCTCCCCACCCGATGAGAACTTATGGAAATCTTTTCGTAAATTTCCACCCTTTTGTTCGCCAGCAGATTGGAATTCCATCTAACGAAACGAACTACAAATCATGCTCTAAAAAGGCACAAAAAAGGCAAAAGAATAAAAAATTACAAAAAAAAGTGATGGAGACAAAGGGAAAATACGAGCAAAAAACCAGAAAAGTATATCCAGAGAAAAGGCAAGGAAAATATTAAAACAAGGCAAACATCGCTGGGCAAAATAAAGTCAAGCATTTAATTTATTTACCCCCAAAAACCTACCCACTTCTCCACTAGAAGAAGAAAGGGGGAAAAAAACGCTCGTTTTACTGTTGCTCGGTTTTTGCCTGTCCGCTTTTCCCCAATCTCCACCCCATTTTCCTACTCAATTTTTTTGGCGCGCTTGGCAAGGGGAGGAAAAACTATAAGCTTAAAAAAGGAGAAGAGAGGAGAAAAGGGGGGTGGGCAAAGAAAACTGTAACCAAATGAACGAACGAACTTTTCCAGCGTTGGGGAAGGTAAGAAAGGTTGGAAAAAAAAGGAAGAGGAGTAGTAAAAACCTTCATTTATATTTTGCACAGAACCAAATTGTAAGTGGCGTCCAAAACTCTGGGTCTACCCATTTCTATACCCTCATAAAGGCGTATAAATATTATTTGTCCCGATTCACTTGGGCATTTGGTCACACTTCAGCGCATTCCAGCACATTTGGTCACACTTCATTTGCACATTTTTATTAGGATTATTATTATAGTAAGTGTATTTGAATCGCGGTGACCAAAACTTTGTTTTCCCCTAAAACTTTTGCTCCTCCGTTCGGCTTACTCCTGAAACCCAAGGGATGGATTAGCAGTTTCATCAAATTTGAAACACACGAACGGTTTGAGACAGAGACAAACCCTTCGCAAGGTCGAATGGTAATGAA